TTTTAAGAAAAAAATAAAATATTGTTGAAGATTCATGTAATGTACTCCCAAAAATTGAAATTACGTTTGAAATATAAGGAGCAGCGACATAGCAGAAATATAATCAAGAAATATCAATTTGGGGGCAAATTCTGCCTACGGTTTAGCCACTAGTGTTGTTCACAGACGCACAGACGACGTTTTTCCGTAAGCCAACGGTTCAATAACAAGGCCCCACAAAACATTAATTCTGATTATGCAACTTGTTAAATGAAGTAATATATTACAAAATTGGAACAAAATTTATCCACTTTTGCGGTATCAGGGCCTCACAATACGAATTTTTCTGTCGCAAAGTCGCCCTTTATTGCCGAGGCACCACAATACGTTCTCTATTCTACTACCTCTGCTACTAGTACGCGAGACATTTGTAGAGAGTCCAAAGACCGCAGCGCTCTGCGGAACGCTTTCATCTCCCCCCCCCCCCCACACACACACACACACATCGGGGAAGCATCACTCAGTGCCTCATAACGACAGCTCAGTGCGGGCTGTTGGATTGAGTGATTAATGATTCCGGTCGTGTCAACTACTAAACTCATTAGTCCCGTAAGTGTACTGCGCGTTTTTATTGCGTTGGCTTGGCAGCGGGGCACCGCCCCAGCCGGGACAAACTCTAAGCTCCCGACCGGTCTCCCGGCATGTATGGTAGTGTAGGGCATGTAAGAGTAAGTAAGAGGATAGGACAAGTAAGAGGACGAAAAGAGCGCGCTGTCCGTAGCCCGTTTGGGCACTGCTCTGGCATTCGCCTGGTGTTGATAGGAGAAACTCGTAGACTGGAGGAGAATTCAAGAAACTAGACTCTCCTCCTTGGTCGGCTGAATTCGGCCAAGCTGACAAGCTAGTGTCGAAAATTCTGCCACCGTCAGGACCGGAACCCTAGACCGCCCGGTCAGAAGCACTGCAGTGACATCAGTTGTGCCCTGAGCCATCTTTGCCGTTTCGTGCTCTTGGAGATTGGGGATAGTTTATACGAGATTTACTTTTTACTAAAAAAAATATTGTAAGAATTGATACAAACCATGTCGAAAAGCAGATGTGCATATGTACGCGTGTTAATTAAGTCATCAAGTTGAATTTAAACGTACAAGCCATAAATGCGGAATTTGAAAATGTCCACGATGTTTACTTTCTACGTGCTTTTTATGAAATTCGAAACAGAGAAAATTTTAATCACAAAATTACGCAAGTAAATCATATTTCTTAAAAAGGAAGTTTTCTTGCATTCTAGTTACATAACTACACTGATACTCGAACATTCTGCAGACGGCAGAATAACAAATTGTATATATTCAATATAACAATATAGAATTCCTAAGGGGAGAAAGTAAAAACCAATAATAATAATTTCGGAATGCTGAGGGAGATCTAAGTACGTCTCAGGGGTACTGGTTATATTAAAATTTAATGTTGATTTATATTCATATTTTTCTTAAAATGGTTTCATATACGTGCACAAAACCTCAACATTTAATTTGAAGAGTCATAAGTTTTACAAATTCAATAAGAGATGTGAAAAATTGTTTAAAAGTTAAAAATTCGAAAATCACATACAGACACTTCCAGTTTATTTACCTTGATGAATAGTATTTGCTAATAGAATTTCGTCAAATGGTTTTCAACAAAGATTGTAGGATCCTCAATTATTTCCTTCAGCAACACGCAATTGTCACAAATAATAATTCCCTGCGAAGAAAACTCGAACCCTCGAACTAACTAAACGTCCGTCCGACGAGCAGGGAGCGCACTCACCAATAGTCACTTCGGCCATCTCGATAGGTCATGAGATGAATATTTCTATAATAGTAATAAGTAAGTAAATAATAAAAAATGGGGGGGGTGTTTTGCGGCGACAAAATGAAAGCAGTCGTTGAGAAAGACAATGAGGATAGTCGCAAAAGTTAGTCAAAAGTAGGGGGATTAAAAAACTAACTAGGGCAAGAAAGTATGTGCCATTCTATAGCACCAACAGTTTATTTATTATTTATTTATTTAAATAGCTGATTTTCTGCAACAAACTTTTTCCGAAGCAAAAATATCTTCAATTTTGCGGTTTTGAAATTCTTTTGCTATTTTTGAAAACAAAACGAGCAATACCCGAAAATGGGACTAGCTCCATATTCTCATCGTCTCTTATTACATATGTGGAGACAATTTAAAGAAAAAAATTAGAGCGGTTTTTGAGAGATGTTTTTTTCGTAAATTTATAATGAAAATTATGCAAAAACCTTTTTTTTAATGGAACATGACATTAGTAATTTTTTACACCAGTCTTTGCCTGAAACCTCAATCCTCAAATTTTTACTTTTAAATTTGTTTTTCGTAATTTTTGAAAAAAACGAGCAACACCCGAAAATGGGACTAGCACCATAATCTTATTACATATGTGGAGAAAATTTAAAGAAAATATTTGGAGCCGTTTTTGAGAAAGTTTTTTCTGTATTTCAAGTAAAAACTACTAAATTTTTACAAAACATGTACATGACTTTTTTAAAGACCTAACAACAAACTTTCAGCCAAAAACCTCTATCACAAATTTTGCTTTTTTTTTTTTTTTTTTTTTTTGCAAATTTTGAAAAATCGGGGATATCACCGAAAATGAGACTTGCACCATTCTCTTCAACGTCCTTTGCACTATCGAACAACAAAATTTAACCAAAAAATTTGGAGCTGATTTTGTTTTGAATTTTGAAAATATCTTAGAGGCTTCATGTAAAGTACCCCCCAAAATTATAATATCGGGTTCAAAATTCAGGCGCCGCGGCAACCGCCAAATCAATTTAGGAATATGATTTTGGAGAAAATTGGCTGAACGGTGTAGCCGCTATCGTTGACCACAGACGGATTGACAGACGGACTTTCGCCGTCAATTGAATTTTCGGTATGAAGAACCAAACATGACAAGAACAAAACATGAATTCTGGCTACACCGCGTGTTAATGGATTTTTCCCCTTAATTTAATGACAGGATTTTATCCACTTTTTCGTTATCAGAGCCATACTATAAGACTTTTTCTGGCAAAAATTCGTCGTTTTCCGCGACACGATTACATAGCTTTCTCTTATTACAAAGAATTCGTAAGGCGAGAAAGTTAAAAAAAACTACTTTTTCGATAAAACGTCTATTTTGGTTGAAATCGCGAAATCGATTTTCCGCAGCATTACATAACTTTCCCTATACTACGTATAATACTTCGTATATACGTACGTATACGGGAAAGAAAAAGGCATTTTGCCAAAATTCAGGGCTCTACTTATTATTACTCGCTCAACTTTTATTGAACGATGGATTGACGAAAGGCGGGTACAGTGGGGGTATTAGTTAAGACACTGTCCCCTCGAGTTCATGAAGCAATGCCTATCTCTGGAGAATCAGTCATGACTTCGCAACGTTTTCAATAATTTGCGTTTTAACTTTCTCAGGAGTTTGAGGTATATCCTGTGGTAGATATTTACCTGTTTGGGTCATTTCTTTCGATTTTTTTTGGAGAAAATAATGGATTGAAGTTTTCGCCTTCAAAAGAAAACTGTTTCTATTTCGCACCAGTGGAAGATGTGTTTGAAATGTTCCATCAGTGTTCGCTGAGAGCTTTTGTCTTCAACTGTGTATTGTGTCAGAGAGGGGGAACCAAGGTAATCGTTCAAGAAGAGTTGCGCGAGTAATACTATTATAGAAGTATTAATCACACGTCGCAACTGGATAACCGAGGTCGCTAATTGTTGATTATGGCGACGGCTCTTCGTAGGGCAAGTTCACTGCTTCGAGTCTTGGCCCGGAACTATTATTTGTGGCGATCTGTGTCGCCGAAGGAAATAATTGATAATTCCAATAACTTTATTAAAAAAACATTTGAAGCAATTCTAATCGCAAATACTATTAATCAAGATAAATAAACTGGAAGTGCATGTGATTTTTAAACATTTTTTGTACATATTAGTTTTCACGTTTTGCATTTTTAAGGAAAACCCAATCCATAGGCTTGCATGTTACTAATCACTTCCAAAACCGTTACAGTTTTGATCAACTCTGCAATTCTTTTAAAACAGACCTGCTCCCATGACTTCATACTTCCCTCATTAGAGGACTTTAATCAGTGATGGACCACTAGTCACTGGCGCAGGGGCGCATGCAGAGACGAATTCTGGGAGGGGAATTTCAAAACGTTTTGTCAAATATATATATTACATATTTTGTAATACGACGCAGGCTACATCAGCTCATGCTGCGACACGATTTTATTCGTTTTAATAATAATCCGCAAAAAATGTTTTTGCTTGAAAGTTTCGTGACAAGTTAATATTAATAGTTACTGAAAAATTTTAGGAGCGAAATTTCCCTCATCTCTCCCCCCCCCTTGGATCCGCGCCTGCACTAGCAGCGAAAAATTCGTTAATTAGGGATTGTTCATAAATTACGTACCGCAGGGGGAGGGGGTTGAGGGAGCGTTATGCTGCATTGCATAGGTGTATGGGAGTGTTAGTTTAGTGTTACTTGACATTGAATTACTTTTTTGAACATTTTTTGCAATTTGCTGAAATAGTTCCTTTCTCTATGTATTGCACTAAAACGTTAATTAATTAATTTGCTTAAACACAAATAAATTAAAGTTATTAATATAAATTGTTAGGACCTTCAATAAACGGAAACATCAATTTCTATTGAATCTGTAAGGTAACGAAGAAAATGTTCAAAAATTATGTGTAGTACATTTAAGAATTCATTTAAATTGGCGGAGTACTCTCGCTCCTGCGTCATCCACGACGATGGTGCGGCGGACGATAAAAAGTTGTCTCATCTTGTGAGGTGCAATCAAGCATTGCCAACAAATTTCTACGTTAATTATCCCTAATTTTATTATTCAACACAATAAAAAATGAATACAGATTGGTTTTACTGGGCAATAATTCATTTTCTATCCTTGCAATTACAAGGGGGTGGGGTGTTGTGGCGTTACGTAATTGTTTAGAGTGGGTTCAAGCACGCGTTATGGGTGCGTTACAGGGAGAGGGGATATTCAAAATATTCCAAATTTGCGTTACCTACTTTATAGACGTCTCCTTATTACATCCGATGAAGTCTAATTTTTTTCATTAAATACAAAAAAAGTGAAAAATTATTACGTTCAAAACATTTCTGAAGAAATTGACCTGCGGTTTATGACAGTCACATCTCGCATTGCAGAGTGCAGGACAAATTACGGATAAATTATTAACCAGTTATCAAAGGGATTAATGTTTCACTTCAGTTTAACTGATCTGTCAATCGCCATCTGCGGATACGTCCCAGTCGAATTTGAATCTCACTCCTTACCATACAAAGATGCTCGAGCATCGCATTCTCTCTACCTATATTATCGTGCACCAAGTGTCTTGGTTGAAAAATTGCCTAAGTTTTCTGAAAAGCAAAAACAATAATTTACTTAAGTTCTTAATTTGCTTCTCACTGCAAGATAATTGTATTCTTTACAGTTAATACTCCGCAAAATTGCGTAAACAGTACAAAACATTTTCTTATTCAACTTATCATATTAGCTTGCGAAAAAAATGCGAACGCGTCCGAATCAAAACGTTTTCCAAAATTTATTATGTATACACCAGTGTTTGGCTCCTACCGATAAAGCTCACTTAACTTGCCGTCCGACCGCTTCACCTCTGCTCCACAGCGATTATTGGCTCGTGAGAAGCAAGTGGATTGACGCACGTTCTTAGAAGGGAATATCAGTGGAAGACAATGTTGAGCTATTCATAATAAAAAAAAAAACTTCAACTGTCCACAATTGGGTAAGCCTAAAATCGAATTATTTCGTGGTGTTCAACTAGATTTATTTTACGCCTACGACAGTTGTTTCGTTCATTTGAGAAAATATAAATGTATTATTTTCTTTACTCAACTAGCCTTGATTTACTTTTTCTAATTAAGTGGATTTCATTTTTCAACTTTATACCAACATTAATTTGTTAAAAATATTCCCAGTATTAATGAAAGACAATTATTAATGAACACAAACTGTTATCTTATCAGTAAGTAGCACAGGTTAAATATGAGTTAAAAAATTTGGCCTGAATGTCTGGAGTTTCACTAGATATGAAAATGTATTAAGTGGGATTAAAGATGTCCATACATGCAATAAAGTCATCAAAAAAGTACAATGTAGCGTATAAAAATATATTATTTTTGATCATTAATAATCAGATTTGGAATAAAAATTTGCTTTTATTGTTTTTAAATTCAAAACTGTAGGTTACGCTATTCAAAATAGCCATTTAAAATACAATCCATAAATTTTACATAGAGAACAAAGACTTAACACATAATTTGACCCATGATTAATTTTATCAGGATTGGAAGGAAGGAGGGGGGGGGGGAGTCAAAGTTCACTTGATGTCCACATTCACTGAAGGTTAACATCTTGAAAATCTATCCAGAAATATTTTTGCAGGAATCCTAATGCTGTGGAGAACAATCAGAATAATTCAACACTCCAAGCGAAATATGTCTACAGGAAAATACCTCATTGATAATCCTAAATATTCATTCCTTAAAGACTTAGGATTGAAGAGAACGAATGCTGGTGTATACAATGGATTGTGGGAGGCAAACGGAGAGGTAAAATTACTTTTCCCAGAGAATGCAAAGTTATTTATCTTTTTGCTATGAGTCATGTACTTATAAAAATGAACTAATGGCAGATAATAACATCTCTATGCCCTGCTACTGGTGAACCAATAGCAGAAATACAACAAGGTACCCTTCAAGATTATGAAAAATGTATTCAAGAAGCACAGAAGGCATGGCATATATGGGCTGACATTCCAGCACCACGGCGTGGAAGCATTGTACGAGAAATTGGAGAAGCCCTTCGTTGTAATCTGAACTCCCTTGGCAAATTAGTATCATGTGAAATGGGTATGATAAATTATTGTTCTGGTGTTGTCTAATGTATGTAATAATTACTTTTAATAATTTAATCAAAAGTCCTTTTTCGGTTATGCTTTGTTATTAACAGGGAAAATCCTACCAGAAGGTATTGGAGAAGTGCAAGAATATATTGACATTTGTGATTATGCTGTTGGACTTTCTCGAAGTTTTGCAGGCCAAATAATTCCATCAGAAAGGCCAGGACATGTATTACTGGAGCAATGGAACCCCCTTGGTATTGTTGGAGTTATTTCGGCTTTCAATTTCCCAATTGCTGTTTATGGATGGAACTCGGCTATTGCAATGGTATAATTGTGTTCTAATACTTGTACATGTGTCTAAGAATTAGTACAGGACAAAAATCATATTCCTAAACTGCTGAGATGTACTTTTCAATTAACAACCCTCACAGAAAAGTTCCATTTACAATATAAGATTTCTACTAAAAAGATGCAGTGAATCTGAATTTCATAAAATAACAACAACAACAACAACAACAACAACAACAACAATAATAATAATAATAATAATAATAATAATAATAATAATAATAATAATAATATAATAATTATTATTTATATTCTAATATTATAGATTATTATTAATAATAAGAAATTAAATAAACATAAAATAAAATAATGAATTATAATGTTAAATTATTATTATTAACTTGATTGGCCACATTGGACCACTTCAGTCGTTCCACTTCACTTTTTACTGTTCATGGTCGACTGTCGAAGGTTTTCACCTTGAGGTGAGGATAAATCCTCGAGTTACAATTCTGAATGTTATTCAGAAAGGTGATAATGAGAGATGGAGGATGATGGATGATAAGGGGTGAAAGGACGAACACAATACAACCATGCCCGAGGCGGGACTCGAACCCGCGATCTTTCGGTACGAGATCGCTACGGCACTACTGCCTTAGCGATCTCGGCCACCGGATCGGCTTATAATGTTAAATAATAATAATAATAATAATAATAATAATAATAATAATGATAATAATAATAATAATAATAATAATAATAACAATAATAGTTATTGTTATTATTGTTGTTATTATTATTATTGTTGTTATTATTATTATTGTTGTTATTATTATTATTATTATTATTATTATTATTATTATGGCAAGATGAATTTGAATTTTGTTATTGTTTTCAATTACTGTAAGTTTGTTTCTGTTATATCTTAATTTTCCCAATTGTCTGTTTCTAGGTGTGTGGCAATACTCTCCTGTGGAAAGGAGCTCCTTCAACATCTCTTGTGTCAGTAGCTACAACAAAGATAATTTCTGAAGTTTTAGAACGCAATAAATTGCCTGGCGCAATCTGTGCTTTATGCAGTGGCGGAAGTGATATTGGACAAGCTATGGCTAAGGATACCCGAATACCACTCTTATCTTTCACTGGAAGTACAGAAATTGGACATAAGGTGAACCAGAAATTATTTTTTCAGCATTGGCTTCATACTATTTCAAAACAATAAGCCACCATTGTAAGCTAATTACTTAATGGCATTCCATGAAATCACGGAAATTGAGCAATTTTTGCATTGCACTTTATCCAGTTATTGTTATGATGCATACTTATAGATTATTAAATTTATTGAATGTTAAGATAGATTCAGTTATAAATTTATATTGCAAGGTACTGTATAATTACATTATATGATTATTTATTCATATTATTTCCTGCAATGCACCTTAGATATATTTCATGTTGGATACCAGTTATAAATTGTAAATTATCATGTTTCATATATTTTCTTTATGCATTTATTTATACATGTTATTTCCGACATTACTTATTAGTTGTATTATACGCACATTATTTTGTTAAAACTTGAGTTGCATTTAATTATAATGTTTAAATGTAATGATGTTCATATAATTAATAATTATTATTTTTATTATTTTGCAATTCATTTTTTATATTAATTAATTTATAATTTTTTTTTCCCCCCAAGAATTATTCCAAAATATATTATTTACAATTTTAAATTTTCATTTGAATTTCCCAACAAAATGTACTAATGTTTCGATGTTACACAATTTATAGAATTAAAAAATTCTGTTATAACAAGAATTCTTCTCCTATAATAATATGACATACAAGGAATCCTTTAGATATAACAGATATATGTTCACCAATTCTTCCCTTTTAGGTTGGTGTTCAAGTTCAAGACCGATTTGGTAAACAACTCCTTGAATTGGGAGGGAATAATGCAATTATTGTGTCAGATGATGCAGATTTAGATATGGTTGTAAGATCAGCAGTGTTTGCTTGTGTTGGTACAGCCGGTCAGCGTTGCACAACAACAAGACGACTGATTTTACATGAAAAGGTAAAAGAAGAAAAAGAAAGAAAATATAAAAATAAGGTTTTTGTTTCATGATAATACTGGGAGATTTTTTTCAGGTGTATGATACGGTATTAGAAAGACTGAAAAAAGCTTATGCTCAAGTACTAACTCGCCTGGGAGATCCTCTTGAGAGTGAAACACTCTATGGGCCTCTGCATAGTGAAGCTGCCGTCCAATCATATGTAGCTGCTGTACTGGCAGCTGTAAAAGCAGGAGGAAAAGTTGAATTTGGAGGAGAGGTAATGTTATGCTAGTACACAAGATACTGTCTTGAACAAGAATTGCAAGATAAAAAGATTTAATATAAAGCTTTTCCTCACATTTTATCAACATATAAACATTCTTTTAACTCTCATGGAATTTTTACCAAAAGTTTTTAAATCCTGATTCTTATTCATGAAGATCACAGAAACTTTTAAACCAGAAATTCAGCAGTATGTGAATTATATATTAATATAAAACTACCCAGTGTATTTAGTTTACAAAACAAATATTTGCTTTTGGATAATTAAACCAGAAAGACAACACCAGAAGAAACAAAAGCATAAGGTAATAGAATGGGAAGTAAAAATTAAAATTTGATTTCAGGTCATTCAAAAACCTGGATTCTATGTAGAACCAACAATTATATCGGGTTTAAAGCATAATGAGAGCGTTGTTCACACAGAAACATTTGCTCCAATTGTATATGTGTTGAAAATGAAGAATTTAGAAGAAGGAATTGCTTGGAACAATGAAGTAAAGCAGGGCTTATCATCTAGCATATTTACCCAAGATTTAGGTTCTGTTTTCAAGGTAAGACTGGAATTAAAAAACATTATGACAGTAGATTTTGTAGTAGAGTTTAGTAGTAGTAGAGTTTTTTTCTCATAAATTCCACATTCAACGATTATGATGTCACCTGCAAAATCAAACAATACTACCTTTCGATTTCCCTTGTGAAATCAAACTCCATCCTTTTATCAATATCAATTATTTGCAGTGGATTGGACCAAAAGGATCTGACTGTGGTATAGTCAATGTGAATATACCAACAAGTGGGGCTGAAATTGGCGGTGCATTTGGTGGAGAAAAACACACTGGAGGTGGAAGAGAATCTGGATCCGATTCATGGAAGCAATACATGAGGCGTTCCACTATAACAATCAATTACAGTAAAGAGTTGCCCTTAGCTCAAGGAATCAAATTTGAATGAGGCATAAAATATATTTTTTGAAGCATATCATTTCCATTTTATACTCTTTCATTAAAAAAAATGTAATACTATAAAACAAATTCTAATAGAACATTTTTAAATTGATCTAGTTATTTGTAATTTTCTATCCAAGAAGTTTACTTTTTGTTACATTTTTAATATTAGTGCCAAAGAAAATTTAAATACACAATGGCACATAATCACATTGTGCAGATACATTTGGCACATAATCACATTGAGGGTGAATGAAACATAGAAACGTTACGGTCTAGCACTTCCTAAAATTATTCTTCTCAAATTACATCCCTGGCAGCAAAGAATTGTTCTACTTCAGGTGTTTTGGGAAACAGTCAAAAGATATCACTCAAAACAAAATGCTGATGAGACATTCATCAAAAACTTTTAATTAATAAGACTCATAATGCAACAACATCCATATAACATATCAATAAAATGCTATATGGATCCAACGTCCATATAACAAAAATTATAAGTTGGAAAAACGAAAAGCACTGATAGCATATTTGTCCGAGAAGCTTTTCGTAGCTTGCTCAACTCAAAACAGCATTAACATTTTAGGGATGTACTCAACAGAATATTTTGACCTCCAAAGAAATTATTTTATTGTGCATAAAAATGCTTCTTCCATGAATTCACAATGTGTGCCAAAAAGTTTGTGTTTGAATCCTTTATTGTACAGTGTGACTAGATTTTGAGATATAAATATAAATGTATTCCTTTTCCAACTCCATTCATCAATGGTTCTTTTCCTAAAATGGTGATATCAAGAAAACCAAAAGTCTCTGATTCTGAACCAGATGTAAAAGCGATGACATGCAGCACATGTTCATGACTGAATTAAGATCTGTACCATGTATTTTTAGAAAGCATGCTTACTTAAGTTCCTCCACTATCTCATGTGACTGATAGCTTGTTACGGTAACAAAGCTAATTTCTGCCTCTTCAATCTGTTACTTCCAAAGCAACATATTGTGCAATTGCCAAGTTTTTCAATAATTCACAATGGGCTCATTCGAGTTGTCAGCATCTGATGATAACTTCATGTAGGATGAACATACTAAGGAAATAAATTTTAGTACAAGCATGTCAATGTATTAAACTCTTAAAACACACCATTTAAAAAAATGTAAAGTTAAATTTATTGTATAGTTCCCAATACACTTGCTTACAACTTTGGTTTGATGCCAAGGAAAGTATTATAGTAATGGTGATCAAGGAAGATTCATGTACTTATGCTTGGTATGCAATTCCTCAAATTTCAAAGCAATGGTTGAAATAATGCCAAGAACTCATTGATGATTAAGTTTCATATTTGATTTTATCCTATACCAATGTATACACAAAGTAACATATTTTGTGTGGAAAATGAATTTCATGATTACGACGGAAATACATTTTTAGAATCTCATGATACTGCAAAAGGATTTTTTCAAAACCTCTTTCCATTTGTTAGTCTGTAAACAAAGCTAGCACCTCAACTATTTGCAGATTTTTTTACGAAATAAATATTCCCTGATAAATATGGCCTTACTCAAATCCCTGCAATTTTGAAAAGATTTCTTTGAATTTTCAGGGTACTTCATGTACTATAAATATTTTCAAAATTTTCTGAAAAATGGTTCCATATTTTTTTCTTTAAATTTCAAGTATGAAAAGAGTATAATACACTTATAAAGACGCATAAGTCTAATTTTCACTATTAACTCTTTAACACTTTGAAAATTGCTAAAGTTGGAAATTTTTTGGACCTGCTCGCATGATTTCATTGAGGACACAGATTTTTTCTTCAGATGCGATTGGTTCAATACAATTAGTTGAGGGGCAATGTTAAGTGAAATATGGACAAGATTTTCATAAAAACTACTCCACTATTTTTTTATTTTTTCCCCCTCAATATTTCTGCTAGGATAGGTTTTTTTTTTAATATCTTTTTTGTCTTCACAGAACTGGCTTTCTCTCCAGATTATTGGATTCGTGAGTGCATGTGCCTCTCATATGGTTTCCCATGAAGTTCCCCAAAAGCTCAAAAGTTTGCTGTGAATATAAACAAAAACAAATCTTTTCAGAAATTCTGAAATGACATTTTCTCAAAAATACTCCACATTTTTCAGCGGAAATTTGCATAGGAACTTTGCTCGGACTTTCTCTTCTAAATTCATGTTTCAATTCCACTAGTAGGGGACCGAAAAATTGAGATGTGAAAGTATTTATTCGTTTATTTATTTACGGGAATACCTCTTACAAAGGTAGTAAGTAAATAAATGTACATAAGTATATAATTCACTAATCAATTAAAATGTCAGAGATATAGAGAATAATAGTAACGTCAACTACAAATTTTGCATTGTAAGATACTTTCTCATGATTAAAAATATTAAAGAAATCAATGAATATCAAGTACATCAAATACAAATTCACTTTAAAAAATAAACTATCAATAAATACCATGGTTAAAACAGTAGTATACAATTATTAAACACAACTATGTCTTGAAACGTAAGAGAAAATTTTTGTAGCAGAAAACAAAGAATATCAAATAATGTTCGGTTATATGTTTAAGACAATTTTGACACTGACCCTTCAAAATTGTCTTAAACAAAAAAAATCAATTTTGTCACAGATTTTGCTGACTTTATACAAGAGTCTATTGAAAATGTTTAAGTACAAATAATTTGTCCTACTGTTTGTCATGTACAATGGCTTGTGAAGTCCATTGCTGAATCGAGGAATGCTGAATTGTGGTTGAAACAGAATAACAAGGCATTTAATATTTCTTACAATATGGAATGGAGAAAAATAAGGTCATGAAACAATATTCTCGTAGTTAGTGCAGGAATATCTAGTTTCCTCTGTATGATCTCGTAATTATGAACTAGATAAGACATAGTAGTACTAGATAAGTACTTAGGTATAAGTATATGCAAAATGTCTCAGAAATCTGTTTTGAACTCTTTCTAGTAAGGGGGAAGATATATCTGTATATAGTGTCCAGATTACTGTTGTGAATTCCAAGATAGACCTAATGAAAGCAAGAAAAAAGCTTGCGAGCCTCAACATTACAGAAATTGAGAGTTCTTCAGCTTGAATTCAAGCATCCTTCTCACTGTGCTGCAAGTTAATTCAATATGCAAGTTGAAGTTCAAACCAGCATCAAAGGTCTCTCCAAGGTCAACTATATTGTCAATGAAATGAAAGGGACCTTGTTTATTATGTAGGGTATAGGATGTTTTTCTGGTGTATCACACGACATAGCACTTTTCAATGTTAAGCTGCATATTGTGACTGAGCCCCAAGCAATAGGTCTGATTGTAGATTTTGGGCATCAGAAACATTTCAGATTCTAGAGTAAATTTTTGTGTTGTTGACAAAAAGTAGAATTCTACAATATTTGATAACTGATGTTGTTAATGATCGTTAATGTAGATGTTAAACAGTAAAGGGCCAAGACAAGACCCTTACGGTAGACCAGAGGAAACATTGTATGAATTGCCCACTTTGAAATCATGACATAGGTCACTGAAATGGACAAAATCTGACATAGGTCCGCAATCATGACAGTAATGGTTTTCTGAATTCAAGTTCAAAGAGTTTGGATAAGAGGATGTTATGGTCTGCTCAATCAAAGGCTTTGACAGAATCAGCATAAATAACATCAACTTGTCCCTCATGGTCCAGTGATTCAGCTATATAGCAACTTATTGTGGCAAGATTGGTCAAAATATGTCTTTTAGCTGCCAATAGATGACAGCTGGGAAGAGCTTAGGGTAAAACCAAAAAGCTAGTTCAGAAAGGCTAGCTTCTTTTTAGCTAGGAAACTAACTAGAAGGAGAAAGTCTATGCCATTCTGTAGCACCATTTGTTTAGGACTTACGAAAAGAGGCCTACTGTGAGTGTCAAATCGCAAGCTATCACACTTGTCTGAGGTAGTTGGGCAGGGCTGTATTAGAGCGTATGAGCAAGTAGCCCTCCACCTACATGTGTAAGAATGATTGATGTTTCTGAACATTCAAATGCTGTGGTTACTAGTCCCATTAGTATACAGATTGTTGATATCCCAGGAGGTAGTAGTGCTGGATGTTGAGATTGGTGCTGACCTACGTTGTTTTGCAGAACATTGCTCTGCCAAGGAAACTCCTAAACAGGGCACCACCCCTGCCAGGACAAGCTCTAATCTTACAACTGGTCTCCTAGCATTTGTGGTGAGTAAAGGGGATAAGATACAACGAATAAAGGGGAAGATAAGATCATGGCCCATTTGTTAGGGTACCACTCTAACATCCACCTGTTATTTATGGAAAAAAATGAGGAAAACTACCAAACAGTGCAGCTGGTTGCTAGAGATCTCCTCCAGACAGGAACTGAATTTGACCTAGCAATAGAGCCACTGTTGAGTCTCAAAGCCTAGGATCCTGCCTAAAAATAAATGAATTTAAATATTATGTAATAGCCTTAAAAATACTGTAACTTTCTTTGTCAATGCGTTTTTGCCCAAGTGAAACTGAACAATGGTGAGGAAGCTAAAATTTTTCAACAATGCAAGGAGCAATGTTTTGCTGTGTTCATTGTGATCTGGCCCTTTAACATAATCATGATTCTGAAATTCGGGAGGAGGCATGACGACTACACAGAATAGCACAGCTGCGGCAAATGAAACTTGCGCCTATGGGCTTACTAGTGTTTGCAAATGACAGAGTCTGTCAATTTGTTTTAAACCCCTTGAGCCATCATTGCTGCAAACATCCTTATCCAATGGCAGTTATGTTATTAAGCTTCATACTATTAATACGCTTGAGCAGTTTTCAAAGTTCAAATACAAGGAGAATTTCTGATGACAGTTAAATAATTCCCGTAGTTTCATAATTGATTCTATGCTTTTTTAATAACCTGTGCAACTGTTTATTAAACACAAACTGTTTTAATATCTGTGCAATCATTTTTAAATGCAATTCAAAGATATAAAAAGTATAGAAACATGTTTTACGCCACAAACTTTTTCATAATTTACAGCCTTCATATTTTCCTTGAGCTAATACGGTACAATAAAAATGGGATGATTAAAACTAAAATACACCTTGAAATATTATATTTAAAATGAATGAGGAGAAAATGGTATAACACAATTCTATTAACATATAAGTACACTATTTTCATATTTCAAGGAAACTTATACATTTGGAAGTATACATAGTGTATAAACAATTTATGAATTACAATTTTTACTACTTTTACACATGTGCCACTAAATAAACATTTGGTGACCCAATGACACTTTTTTTTTTTTGCAAAATGAAAATAATATTTATTACTTTCCAGTCTTTGCATAATAAAGTGATACATGGTACTTTACATGTTAATTACAAATTACTGTCTATATCACATTCATATACATCATTACATCTCACAGACATTCACTCTTGCCAATCTGTGTATCAAGGCTAGATCACTTAATGTGCAATGCACTTCCCACAAACATGAACCATGATGCTGCCTTAAACACAGCAGCAATGAATAATTTAAGGTACAATGATTGTGTTATTATCATGTGCAATCATAAAACTTGCTTTGTTACCTGTATTTTCATTAAAATACTTGTCATTTTTTCCATCAACTTTGAAATTGCCAGCAGAAAAATTATGAAAGGCAAAGAGAAATTACTCACAGAAAATAATACTTTTTTCTTAGTTAGCAGGACAAAAATGGATAAACAATTGGCAATGAGTGTGTATCTACAAACCGAAATTATTTTTGATATCACACAAACATTTCTTTCCACAAAACATCTTTTTAATCAATATTTTTGTGCAAATTATACTATTAAAGGTAAAGGGATCTGACATCTTTACAGCATATAATAAAACATGTTTGAGAATAGCTGATTTCTGCACTCAATGTAACAGCTTTTGGAGAGGACATTTGTTTGTATCATTACAGATATCTCTGGCATAGCAAACAAATGTATACTATCTTCTTCTTTTGCTTAAAAAACAAAAGATGAGAACAAGATGATTATCATTAATGTGTTTTTACCCACAAATATACAAAATATTTCACAAACACCCAAAGAGCAATATACACTGAATATAAAATAGTTTTTGAGACAAACAAATTTTTAACAATTTGCTGCATCTTAGGCAAATATCATTACTTTGACATTTAACTTCATATCTTCTAAATCCACATTGACAAAACTTTAACCCTCCGACATTGCACTGTTATCCGTTGACACTGTTAAATTTAATTTCTCTAAACTCTCATACTGAAAATTGTTAGGCAGATAATTGTAAGAAAAACAGATAGATGACAAGAAATTTGTAAATTATCTTCACTGGGCGTCAGTGTTGAATAGTATTGAAAATAAACAATATATCTAACAGTATTATCACTTGAAAAACACATTAAAACCTAGTTTATGATCAAAATTGAAAATTTATAAAAAGATTCCAGTGATTTAAGTGTTTGCCAGCACTCTTCTGCACCTTTCGCACATGTTAATTTTATTACACGTTTACGACTTAGTTTTGAAAATCTTATGCAAGTCTGGTTTCCATTACGTTTTCTTTTATTACTTCTTAAATTATGAGAAAATGAACAAAAAGTATGGTTAAAATACATAACAGTTGTCTGAATTGTTGGAAGGTTCCATTCCATTGCTGAGAGCAACATTTAAACATTGCTCTCAGGTTGAAAATGTTTTCCAAATTCTGAGAGAATGAACATATAAATGATTCGCAATGACAATTTTCATTACCACCCTATTGTATGAAATATTATTTCAAATAATTTGCCATTAAAACCATATATATTAAAAACTGATTTTGTTTACCAGGATTATATTAATTCTACATGCTCTATGTCTGTGATATGCATAATGATCCAATCTTCATTACACAGAACAAATAATACAGCCACTCAACAAACCACAAATTCTAAAAATAAATAAAAACATAATACTGGATAAGACTATTCTGATAAATTTTAATCTTCTTAGGTATATTCTGACTTTATCCGAGATGTAGTGTATATGCCAGAAGGTTAACAAAATTTCTATTTAAATAGTTTTAACTGTAACTTTAAAAAATTTTAAATAGAAAAAACTCAGTCATTTACCATTTACAGGATTCAGGGAGTAATGAATAAGTTAAATAATTGAAGGAATAAGTAACCAACCACTTAAAGATAATTTAAAAAAATATTACAATTAATTTTTAATACACCAGAAATGAACTCTTTGACACTTACTGCACTGTGTAAGATACCAAATCTAGACCCAGGCTACAACAGTACATTTCTTGTAAACCTCAGCAATAATTAAACAGCAAATATGGAAGTAATGCTGAGTCATTCTTCTTCTTGGCTTAATCCATTTCCCTACACTTAGGTGGATAGATCAAATCATCCATTATCACTTGCATATCTTTTCTTAGCAGTATTTTTAGTCTAATTCAGATACTAGTACTGTACATGGATGTTCATCCATCTTATCCATTTAAATGGAGCATATGAAATGTCAAGTCAAAAGAACATGATTTTATATATTTACCTCAGAAAAGCACTTAGTAATTGCTTTTCAATAAGGAAAGGAACTGTTTTGAATAAAAACATGACAATACTTACACTTCTATTAGAAGTATTTATTGAAAATTTAAAAAATTGAAAAGTAACATGGAAGACTGGAAGCAACTTCTACTATAGGTTGATAAATCAATGTCTTTTTAATGTCTAATAGATTCTCTATAAAAATGTCAATATTTTATGCAAAATTAGCACAATAAATATTTTTTATCCTACATGCTGAAAATACAAACACTTCTAAATTAGTTATGCATCATAGCATTATCTTCTAAATAACTCATTTACAAATACTACAAGAAATTTATTATAGTTCAAATAAAATTCTTGATTACATAATTTCATTCATCCAGATTCTTGGATGAATAACAAGGGCAATGAAGATAACGAAATATTGCATTCTTTCACTGAATTTCTCCAACAAGGAATGCTATCACTTTCTCAGATTAACCAAACAAAACTAACAGATATTCAAAAATAATAATACAATTAAATGAAAAACAGTAAATTCACAAGATATTTTAGGAAAAAAATAATAATAACAGTGTCAAGATACAATCAATGCATTTAATAATTATCTTCTTTTACATACTTACATTATATACATGCTAGAGTTGCTTACAATAAGCACCCCAGGCTCAGGAATCACAGATAGTATTTCTAGTGATAAAAGAAAATTTTACAGCATTACTACCACTTGTAAATAAGTCAGAAGAAATTTATAAAAAAGACAATGTTCATACAACGATAATGTGTTTCCATTATGAATCAATTTTATTATTTAATATTTGATTCCATTGTTTTCATTTTTTTTTTTTTTTTTTTACAATGAGATTCTTATTTCAATAGTTTCATTTAGTAACAAGTTCTTGCAGAGAAGATTTCTTGATATTTGGATAACATTATTGGGGGAAATAAATAATAGAACTGCACACAATAAGTACTCAAAATACTGCACAATTATTCAAATGGAAAAATAATGACTGCTGCTTTAAAACTACATTCATGCTGCACAATTTCGACACCCACAACAAAACACATGTATCATAACAGGCATATCAATTTAGAACGACTAGTTCACTTAATGTAATTACATTTAATTAAAACTCAGTTCCTTCATATATTGTAAGCTTTGTACAAATGCTATAGCAAAATGAATATAACATCTACTGACAACAGACAGAATACCTAAGAAGAATATTCACTACAAAAAAATCAGGAACAAAACTCGAATTCCTTTACCCAAAAACTATATAAAAACTAAAGTCAATTAGCACTGCAGAAACTAGATATCTGGAAATAAATTTTAAACTAAAAAGCTTGAAGGCGATGTACCTTTCCCAGGAGAATTCCCAACTTCAAATTCATGTCACTATCGGTAATTTCTCTACTTCACCCATTTCTGTAAATGTTTCATCATCCATCGTATAACTCACCATGAACTTCAACGATACTGGTTCCTAAAAAAAAAAAATTGATGAGATACAAAGAAGAAATTTTTAGTGCATAGTTGTAAGATTTGCAAGAAAGTATCTCAAAATTGTTTTTACCTTATTGGGATTTGCAATAAGCATTACTTGGGTAATAGCAGATGGAGGAAGAAAAGGGTTATGAGCAGGCAAGTCTGATCCAGATGGTGGGAGAAGTCGACATTTGCAGGTCTAAAACATACATGCTAAATTATGATCTGCATTAAAACACAAATTCAAAAAACATTTATTTTAAGAATTACCTTGGGAACCACTGCTTGAAATATATAGTTTTGAAGAGGTAGGGAATTTTTACTGATGGTGGTAACAACAATTACAGAAACATCTGGCCTTGGCGTATCTTTTGCAAAATGTAATATAACTGAAACACCATTTCGTTCCTCAAACACTGGAAGAGGTGGTTCAGAACCTAAAACACAATTTAAGTATTATTCTGTTATTAAGTTTATTCTTACAATGCCCAATTAAAAAAAAAAGGAAATGAAAGAAAGGTTAGCAATGCTTATAACCCTTTGCGCTTCTACTTCGTGACATTCTAAAAACGATCACCTGCTCCAATGTTGAGTCTCACAAGACATATTTTTTTGTCCTTGTTTGAGCTTGTACAAAGCTCATCAGGATGTGCACAAATGCAGAGTAGACAATTGGTACAGGTCTATCATGTTTGGTATTGTGTACTTTCAGGCCATTATTCAATTTTTTTTTTTTTTTAACTATGGCCATATTTAAGAACCTTTTTCTCGAAATTATTGCATTTATCAAACCATTTTATTTGTCATGTTGTGCTGATCAATGTTAGTGCTGGCCATTTTTTTCATTTGGTGCATATTCATGTAATTATAGAGGCATATTTTGCATATTTCATTAAAAGAGACTTATCACTAAACCATTTCAACTTTTCATATGATCTATTTATTTGTGAGCGTTCATCAATTACAATGAGCTTTTCACAGTTTCTTTTTATTTTATTTTCTGCAGATGGCAAAATACTTGTACAAATGTAGGCAATTTCTAGACATATTTTTTTAAACATGACAGAAACAATAAAAGATGTACAATGTACTTCTCTAATGTGAATATTAACTTCAATTATTCTTCCCATGAAATAATTAAGATGATATTGAGTTTGCACAAAAATATTTATTTTCATTCCAAGCAAGCTTCTCCTGAATATTATCAAATAGGTTAATGCAGGAAATGAAATATAGCTAATTTCATTTGCATATTAAAGTGCATATTTGGGAATATTTAGGTCATAAATGCAATTTTTAAGAGCATATTTCAAGATGTTTTTGAGACATAAAATTCCTCTCCCTATGACCTTTAATACCTGTCAAATAATGTTTTTTAAATTTAACCCTTCTGGTGAATTCTGGTTATTACACACTAAAGTGAGTTCAAAAACGTATTCTTGTATTGTATAACCTTCTATTTTTAAAGTTGTTGTGTCATAAGGTATAATACTGAATAGAATGTATCGATTTTAACCTGATGAGGCAAATTGTGTGCCTCAAAACGTTGTGCTGTACAAATACGATAATGGTTTAATAAATGCAATAGTTTTGAAAAATGGTGCATCTTAAACATGGCCATGCAAGTTTCCTGTATAATTGAAACTGACGAACAAGAAGCCTGATAACATTAGTCAATTTGTTACAGAATTAACTGAGTAAAGGTATGTTAATGTAAAATGAATGGTTACCTTCCCCAGCGAATTATAATAGTTCGATGATACAGCATCAGCAAGGCATAATGGAAATCCTACTTTATTTCCCGGAACCTCCAGAAATTTTGTCAAATATGCAAGATGCCATACAACAGAGATCTATTATTTTTATTGTCATCTTCATTTATTACGCAGTTAAAAAATCATTAAGTGGTTAAAAAAAGGGTTGATGTGAGCCAAACCCATTTTAATTGTTCTACAAAAACTTTACTCCTCCGCCCAAAAATTCAGATACTGCTGATGTGTTGCAAGCTTAGCACGGTGGCACATCAGTGGGTTTAAATAAAAAGCTGACAAAAACAGAGAGCCAAAAGAATTAGGAACGCAAAAGGTTAAGTGTGATTACATAAATTATTTCACAGCTAACTCACCAGGTTTAATACTGTCAAGAGATACAAAAATATCAGTCAGTGGCTTGATTTCAACTTTCTTTTCTTCATTTGCTTGTATATTTTTGTTTTCTTCTTTAGTAACATCAAGATGTTCAGTACTAGTTTTTAAAGATAATGATTCAGTCATAGGCTCTGGTAGATTATCCGTATTCAATATAGAGGATTCAGGGGAATGTTGAGTATCAAGGTCTTCAGAAAGATCAACCATTGAGTCATCACCGTTTAACAGTTCAGAGTTGCTCGAGGTTCCAACTGAAATTTTAGCTGATGACTTGACAGATCCTCCAATAAGAAAGTCAAGATCTAGATTTGTTGCACTCTTCTCACTAGCAGATGTAGCTTCAAGTCCAGGCAAGCTTGTATTTTCAGAAAATTTTGAACTTGATGATGACACTTCTTGAGACTTCCCTAGCAAATTCATTGGCACCTTCGCTGTGGACCTGATCAAGTCCATTTATAAATAAACATTTACATAAATTTTTTATTATAATTACATTGAACATATGAATACATCATAAACCATAAAAACATGTATATTGAAGGTTTCTACAATCAGACAACCTTTAACAAAAGTTGAATGGTACATGATCTAAATCTGTTTGTCAGAACAAACAGATTTAAGTTATATTTTAAAGATTGAAAGTAATGAAGGATAAAAGTAATATTTTACTTATAGAAAAAGCCTTAAATAACACATGAACACATACTTTTAAATGGTGTTAGTACCTTATTTGTGATCAAAGAGACAAAAACCATCTAATGCAAACAACTCTCCATGAAATATGACTTATTAAGGTAAATTTTCAAGCAGTAAGTACCAAATAGTAGAAACAGCCAAAGTAAAATATTCAAAATATTCTGATAAATATACCTTAATTTAGGAACTAATGGCGATTCAACTAGAAGTATTAATTGTAAAATATTTGAACAAGGATGAAGTGCTACAGTTTTAACAGGCCCGAGGTACAGCACAAATGTTAATGAAGGAATTAATTAATAAAACAAGGCGTATAATAAGAAAAAATGAGGAATGATTTCGTGTTAACAAATATTAGAACAAATAAAAGTACTCAAAAATACTTTACTCAAAAATAATCAATTTTTCTTTGAGTGAAGAAGGCTTCATAAATAACTATTCAAAAATGTATTTTACTCACTTGGAAAACTGAGATCCCATTTTACATGTAGTAGGCAAATTCTGTTTCAATAAGGTTTCACTTAAAACATCCAAATCTTCCAATGCTCTCTGTTTACTCGGTTTATCAGGAGTATCTAAAATGGTAGATTCTAAAACATTTTCAATAAGCAAACATTAGTAATACAATGATGTACTTGCTGATTTATGACAATCTGTATGTGAATTTAAATAAATCTTTATTGAATTTTAAATGACAGGCAATGGTGTTTGTTTCTAAAATCTTTAAAAGTGCATACAAATGTTTATGATACATGATCTAAATCTGTTTTGGAGCACAAACTAAAAATTAACATAATCTTTTACTGATTGCAAAACATTAAATGACCTGCTTTAGAAACAAAATTAAAACCTACAAAAAGTTGTAGAAATTTTCATTAGATATTTGAGAATTATAACTGTATAATAAGATGGTTAACATCATTAAATGTACTAAAATACTCACGCTTCGAATTTTGTTGTTGAAGTGCTACTGGCTGAAGGATATTTGTTACAGGAGCAGATGTTTCTGGCACAGACAAAGCACCAAATATGTCTCCAAGAACTTCAATGTCAGATTTCAACCCTCCAACAGAAGGACTAGTAGTTTGTTTGGTATCACTTTTTGCTCCTGTAGAAAAGTATGCTCTACAGTATCTTAAAATACTTTATTACTAAAACAAATATCTGCTTAATTCACCTCAGCTTTTACAATTCAATATTCCTGTGAACATTTAAAAAAACTGCTTGCTCTAAAATTTACATATCATTCTCCGAATTTAGCAAACACACTGTACTCATTAAGTTCTATAGTGAATACATATCCTATTAACAGCTGTTCCCTGTTATCAAATGAATAAGATAAATTTTTAAACATT